ACATAATCCATGGTTCCTGGGTTGATCTAGATGTGACAAGCTGCAATTTAAATATCCAGGAAGGGTCCATGGGCACCACAGTTGCCACAGTGAGCTGTGGTGATCTTGTGAACCCAGCCTTTGTATGGCATGTGATGGAACAAAACGTTGTTTTCTTAGTCCCTCTTTCTTTGCCTACTCCCTCCAGTATCTGAAACACCTTTGTGGCACTGTAGAACTGGTATGTAGAGTGGATAGGGTAGTTTTAACATCTTGTCTGCTACCTCTGTAGCCTGGTGAGGTGTATGAACAACCTACAGTTTTGGGTTCACACATAACAACAACCCATGGTTTTAAAAACCCAGAGTTCACAATGCAACAAGCAAACAAGGACTGCCATTCAAACACGGAAGTTAGTGGTTCCACTGCAGGTACCTATTAATATGCATAATGAGACTCCAGTATGTTTGACGGGGACATGGCCTGTCCAGTGCTTGCAACCATGCTTTCAAAGTTCCTCCTGGGGAGACCTATTTAACCCCCTCTCTGATACTCACCTGCAGTCAGAGAAAGACTTTTTTTATTTAGACAGAAGTCAAGATGACTCTTTATTTATGGATCATCTTCTGTGTTTGACTGTGTTCATGGTTGATGTTGTTCAAACATTCTTATCTGCTTTTATAAATAAATTGGGGCATGGACTTTACCATGTGATTCATGTGCCAAAAAGAAACGACTCCCTACATTCTATCACTGCAAAGATTTTACAAACAAGTAAGATATGGGCAGGGTCCACCCTTCTTAGCAAGCATCCCTCCGTGGTTTCCATGGCAGCATGGTTTCCTGTCCAGGCAGATGTTCAAGTGGCTTCTATACTAGCATGGTTTTCCCCCTCCTTGCTCACTCCTCCTGCTGTTGGCATGTATCCCATTAGCCACTGCTCCATTCAGTCCCATGCTGGATGCCTGGTACAGTTCCTACAGCCGCTGCCCCTTCCAGGGGACACTGTGGTAGCTGCATACCATGACAGTGGAAATCAAGGTCAGGTTTGGGCCACTGGAAGAAGCATGGTGAAGCATAGCTAGCACAGAACAGATCCTTACTTTTATTGTGGTTTCTAAAAAATGCTGAAAGATCGTGACAGGGTTCATAGTATTCCGCACAAGGAACTACCATGGCATGTTTTACAAACCCGCCCACTGTCAAAGAAACGCTGTGGCCTAACTTTGCTTTCATTTGTGAAAGCAAATGTAGGTAAAGACAAATGTTGCAACAGTGTAGGGTTCTCTCTTAAGGGTAGTCGAACATAAGCCTCATTGTTTCAGTGGGTTTATTGTAACTAAGACATCTATTGAATTGCTTCAGTCTGGATTTTACAGAAGACTTTTCCAGTTTGATACCCTCCAGATATATTGGAATTTAGTCCTCAAGCCCCAGCCAAACAGTAGTGCTGAGCATTAGTAAGGGGGTTGTAATCCAGCACATCGGGAAACATCATGCTTGAGAAATCTGTTTCAAAGGTTTCCTGAAGGGACAAGAAACCAGTGTGCAAATGGAGTCCCTGCCTACATAGTGGCTGTTCGTTCCACTTCAGAATATGACATTGCCACCTCCACTGGAATGAAGAGAGCAGAAGGGGGCTCTCTGTGCACTTGAGAGCCAGTGTGATGCTCTCAGAGATTAGCACGTCGGACTGGGACTTGAGCAATCTGAATTCTAGTTTCCACTCAGCCCTGGGGGACTTTCATACAGTCACTCACTCTCAGCCTAGTTTACTTCACAGAGTTGTTGTAATGAGGATAAAATAGAGAGGAAGAGAAACACGTAAATCTCCTTAAGTCCCACAGAGGAAGAAACACAGAATATAAATGTAATAAATGCATGTAAATAAAATGAGGGTGCATGCAATTCTCTGGATTGGGAAACAGTCATTTCTATTATATTCCTATCCATACTATCACTGTTCATGAACAGCCAGATCCGCATGCTTGTTTGCTTGAACCAGAAGAACAAGCTATGAGGATAAACAAGCACTGGTATTAACATAGGTGCTGCATGAGTCCTTCATGGAAAGAGAACGCCCATCTTCCCTCAGATACTTAGAGCAGGACCTCTGAAAAAGCTCTTGAAGGGCTGACACAGGACAAGGTGCTTCCTCGAGTTTCCAAATCCCAGTTTAGAATTACAGTTAGGATAGTACTGTAATTTGTTCATTTGTTTGATGAATTTTCAGCCACATTTCAAGATGACGTCCCTCCTATGGTGGCTTCCAATATAATAGCACTTTATTCTCCTACATAAATTTTTGGATTCAGATGCTGAGTGTACTGAAGAACTGGCACGCTCACTAGCCATACAGAGAAATCCCTGGTCAAGTGTAATCATCCAGCAAACCTTACAAAGTTCAACAGCTTCCAATCAAGTAACTGTTTTCCACTAAATATCACGTAGGGAACATTTCCTCTTAGTTTATAAAATGAATGTCACATTCTGGATGAGTTAAGAAAGAAATCAGAAAGGGTTAAGAGTGGATTCATTAAGACAAGCTATGGCTGTTAAGCTGGAAGTGCTGGCGTGTGGGTGCCGCATTTTTAATTGGGAAGGGCAAGCGCATTGTCTAAGGAGGGCAAAGAATTATCAGTGCATTTTCTGCGTGTGAGGGCTGGATACTCGCAGGAGTTCTCCGGGGAACGGAGGCACATCAGATGCCTTCCCTTCCCCTCGCTCATGCTGCGCAACCATTACCCTGCCGCTCAGCATTTTTTCCCTTTCTTTTTAAGGCATTGTCAAAACTTGAAGTTAATGTCATACAAGCCTAAGGGGTAAACAAGAAACTTGATGTCACAGACTCACACTGAGTGAAATGCTCCCCAGAATATAAAGCTAAGTTTTAATTTCCAGGGCAGCCTCCGCATCAATGATGCGTGGAGACACTGTAAATCCTGTTTATACATGCTTAAGAACTGCAAGTTAGGGCTTCATGCTCTACAAATATCTCCAGTTTTGAGCTTCTCCCACCCCCGACACAAATCCCTTTTTGAATGGTAATAAATTGTCAAGATCACAAAACACAGAATATAATGGTTATAGTGGAAGAGTATGTAGCACTGCGCTGTATTTGGCTCCTTCCTTTTGTTTTCCTCCCTCTCACCGAGTTGCAGAGAAAAGCTTGCATACTTATGTGCCTGCTGACACCCTGGATTTTAGCTTTTCTCCTTTCTGGCAACGATCTTTAGTTATTGTCTATAATGTTTACCTGTTGGGTCTTACCTGCATAATTTGAGCGGGACCACATGTTCCAGGAAAGAAGCAAATGTGGCCACCGATGCTGGCACGCAGAAGCCTTTTTCATGCCAGTCTTGGTTCCCTAGTTGTTCAGAACCATCAAACAAGTTGTGACATTCACTGTGTGAATGTAATTAACATGCATTTTTTTAAAAAAAAGTGAATAGAAGTTGTAATGGAGCCCAAGCTACATGAGGGCTCCTATGGTGGCCATGTGTCCTCTTTTACAGACACACAGTCCTTTGTTTGGACAGAGGACTATTCTCTGTTTTGAAGGCATCCTCTTTGGGAAGGGCTGCGCAGGCCTGTTCTGATTAGGAATATAGGACTGCCAGATGGGAGAACCTTGAAGTGGCTTTGAAGCTGCCCATCACCGGGAACCACCCAGGGGACCTGGTCACAGCTCTCCCCACTAGAATCACTGGAGTTAAAGTAGAGTAATTGCTTCTGCATTTGCTTCTACAGCTATGCACTGGCATATGCAAATTTAGGCAAGTCATTGTCCCTTGGGTGCTGCAATTACACTTAGGGGCAATTCCTAGGTGGCCACCCTGGGATGAGGGGTAGAATTTTACCCTTCCCTGTTGTAGTCCAGACCATAATCCCCCGCATCAGTGGAGGCTTCATTCAATATAAATAGCAGCTCAAATGGCGGGGGGCGGGGGTGCTTGCCAGAACTGTGGCAGGTGGAAGCATTAAACTCTTGCCACCTCTTGAGGCGCCCATGCTACTCATGTTTCCCAGATTAACATTGTATAAAAATGGGCAGGTCAACGGTATCCATTCAGTTATTTTCACATCTAGTTTGGACCTATGGAATCCTGTGACCGGAAGCAGCACTTGACTATATATGAAGTGGTCACGTTTAAAACTACAGGAATCTATGAGCATAAATAGACTCATTTATGTAACCCACCTGTTGCAACCTCCCCCCATAAGGTGTTATGGAGCCCCGATGTGATACTTGGTTTATGTGGGTCAACATGATGTACTGATGCCAGGAGAGTGGGGTGGTCGAAGGAGGGGAAATGGCATGAGATTGCATTATGCTTGCAGGAAAAACGTATACTGTAGTATTCAAAAAAAAAAAAAAGAAAGAAAGAAAGTCGGTCCCATCATGCTGCTGTGTGTGTGTGTGTGTATATATATGGCACCACTGATTAGTTTCTCCTGGTTTGCT